AGAGCGCTCCACTCCTCTGTCCTGTGAGGCGGACAGCTCAGCCGAGGCTGTCACGTTCTCTCGTCCTGGCCACACTTCCGCTCTCTAACGCCCCCTCCCCTACCCACTTTGATGCATTTTTCAAATTTCGCCTTGGGGCGGAGTTATCTTTTCACAGGGGGGTAAGATATACTTTAAAGCTAATAAATTTTAATAATTTTCAAATATATTAGTCAGAGCCCATTCCTTTGATTTTTGGTTAATTTTTGACTCCTAATTTGAAATCACAAGTGGTAATGGTTAAAATATTCAACTATAAAGTGGGACATCATCAGCTGTCACAGTTGCCCTACAGATAAAGTGCTTTTTGCAAAAGTTTCCTCAAACTAAACATTATAATAGTTCAGGGGATCTGCAGCTCTTTGGTCCCTCTGCAGCAGCTCCTTGAAGCTTTGACCAAAGCTAACATGTGATGACATTATTTAAGGCTAGCTTTAGCAGTTTTCCTGTCAATTTGTTTGCAAATATGTGCTCAATAATACAAAGAGTGAAACATATTGATTAGATCATGCTAGCAGCCTGTTGGCCGTTGCCTTTAAATACCTTTAAGACTAGACTAGATAATCGTAAAACTAGGGTGGGGGGTGGGGGGCAATGCCAGCATATTTCGTTTGTAGTTTTTATTTAATTTGGTAAAAATTACATAGAGGTTTTCTCTTATTTACATGAAAATTATATTTTCTTTTGTTCTAAAATGTGAAAATAATAATAAACATTAAAATTTAATATACTTTTGGTTTTATAATTTCACCCCCACTGGCTGTAAAGGCCCCCATTTGACAAACTTGAAGTTGCCCACAGACCAGCAGTTGATAATCACAGTTGTAGCAATTTTTGCAGCAATCCCCTGTAATAATTGAAATAAATTTTTAACTCCTTTTTTTATTTTTGTCATAAAACAACAACATAATACCACAAATAATGTATTAAAATACCTCAAACTAAAYCTACCAGTTTTTGTGATGATAAAATGTTTTCATATAAAAAAATTCTTAAAATAATGCGTTTCTTTGCAGGTTCAGCTGGTGACATTTGGTTTGAAACATAACTCTGAAAAGTCATCACTAAATTGGACCTGGTCTTGATCACATAAATCCTGGAGTAGTAGTGCTACTTGGTGAAATGGTTTAATTTGACCCCAAGTCTAAACTAGCAAAATCACTTTATAATCATAGGGGCTGTAATGTGATTCCCACAAGTTAAAATAAGCTCCTAAGCTTGGTGTCTAGTCAGGTTTTGGTTCTCATTACAATAATAACAAAAACAAGTTCACACAGTTTTGCCTCCTTTGCCCATCAAACACAGCTTACATCAGGTGGGAGAGCGTTCTCATGACCCTGTGCTACACACACCTGAGTGTTTCCTGCAAGCCATAAAATGTAGCTCATTTTCACATAATGCACATTCAAACCAATAAATGCCTCATTTCTAGATGTTGTCTACTAGGCTGCAGCCTCTAAAGTACATGCACTAGTTTATTATTTAAATATTTCCAAAGGTTAATATTGACAAAAACATCATAGATCAATATATAGCCTTTTCCTCTTGTTTTTTTTCCCCCATGCTCCTGCTTTAAGCTTGTAGTAAAAGCAGCCACGATAGATTTGTCTCCTGGCACATTTGTTCCTGAGCTGCGTCTGCCCCGGCGAGGCCGGGGTTAAAGCTGGGCGTCTCTCCACCCTGACATGGAAGAGGCCACAGAATGGTTGCCTCCCCCAGCCAGCAAACACATTGGCTGAAGCTGAGGGTGGATCTGGGGCTGCCATGGCTCTCCGGCACGGATCGCGGACCGGAGCCGGATCACGGAGGCTCCTGTTACGTGGTCGCGGCACGTTCACACACACACACACACACACACACACACACACAC